TTATCTGCCAGGGTTTAGGGTTTACTTGTGACTGGCTCAAACGTGCCCATGGCAGCCCCACAGGGGCCCCCAGAGGGGCCTCCAGAGGCCCCCCCAAGGGGGGCCCCAGAGGGGACCCCACCGCTCATAGTGAGGTCGGGGGGCCCCCCAGGGGCCCCGTCAAAGTCACTAAAGAGACGGTCATTCATACTGTCACTTCCTCCAACAGGCTGCTTCTGCTGCTGCTGCTGCCAATCCTGCTGCTGCCAATCCTGCTGCTGCTGCTGCCAGTCCTGCTGCTGCTGCCAGTCCTCCTCCTGCTGCTGCTCGCTGTTTGAGGTTCCTCGCCGCACTTTGCTTCCGCCATCAGCAGCAGGAGCCCCCTCAGCAGCAGCAGCAGCAGAAGCAGCATGTGCCTGTGCTGCTGTTGCTGCCTTTGGCTGTACACCAGAGGGAAGCAATAGGGCTTGACATACAATACACTGCCCACTGCTGCTGCTGCTGCTGCTGCTACTGCTACTGCTGCTGCTGCTGCTGCTGCTGCAGGTGGGTACTGGTTGGTCTTCTGGGGGTTCATCGATCCATACAAAACCAGAGGGAGCTACAGGGCAGGGAGCCCTAAACCTTAGATGAAAGGGGCCCCCGGGGGGCCCCTTATTGGGTGCCCCTGGGGGCCCCTCGGGGGCCCCCAGGGCACGAAGAAAGAGGGTCTTAAATAGGCCCACAGTGATTTCTTCTGCAGGTACACCAGGAGGAAGCAAAAAACAATTAAATCCTTCATCATGGTTTCTTTCTCTATTACTTAATTGGTTAAGGATTAGCTGTTGCAGCTGCTGCTGCAGCTGGTGCTGCTGCTGCTGTTGCTGCTTCTGCTGCTGTTGCTGCTGCTGCAACACTTCTGCTGCATCAGCAGGGGGGAAACCACAACAATCCGAAGCCTGGATATAATATGTAGCGATAGAGGGGCCCCCAACTGGTACAATAGTCTCTGATGGGAGGCCCCCATGGTGGAGGCCCCCATGGGGGCCCCCCGAGGGGCCCCTACGGTATAAGGAACTTCCCCATGATGTAGTTTGCTGTATTTGCTGCTTGATCTGCTGCTGCTGCTGCTCTATTTTTTTCTCTACATAATGCATGCCCTCCCTTGCTAATTGGCTGCTGCGCTCTGCTAATACTGATGCCCAACCCTTTATATCCATTGTAAAAAAGAAGGGTTTACAATTAGGGTTTAGGGTTTAGGATTTAGGGTCTGATGATTGAAGAATGACGAATTAGGGTTTACGGTTTATATGGTGAGCTGCTCACTATTTAGGGTTTAGGGCTTAGGGTTTAGCAGTTGTTTAGGGTTCAGACGATAAGGAAGGAATTCGCTGCTGGCGGTTTAGGGTTTAGGGTTTTGTTGCTAGGGTTATTGGGGGTTTAGCAGCGGACCCAATGGGGCCCCTATTGCTGCTTCCGTCTCCCCTCTAAACCCTAAAATGCTGCAGTCTAAACCCTAAAATAAAAAGAAGAAATGATCAAAGAAAGAAGCAGCAGCAGCAGCTGTATATACACCCAGAGGTATATACACCCAGAGGTATACAGAGATAAAAAAAGAGGCAACAGCAACTCTTTCAGTGTTTATTCTTCTCTAAAAGTAATAAATAAACTTCTTTTATTAATATATTAAAATATTCGCGGAGGTAATAATCAAGAAATTTAATAGACAGTATGGGGGCCCCCTGGGGGCCCCCCTCTTCATATTGCTGATGTTGCCGCTTCTTTTTTCTTTTGTTGTACATAAAGGAAAGAAAAAATACTTTTTCTCTTTTTTTATTTTTTTATTAATTAAATATAAATAATTTACTATTTTATTGTTTATTTTCTATTATTACTCTCCTCCTTTCTTTAGTAAGCGCTTGTCTTATTCTTCTTCCTTTAGTAAGCGCTTGTCTTAAGAAAGCAGCAAGAGCTGCGGTGTATGCACACCTAGAAGGAGAGGAAAATTCTTCCTGGATAACAATATTTTTTTTATTTATATTTTTCTTCTCTCCCTTCATTTCGTTGTCTTTTAAATAATTAATTTTATTTTTTAAATAAAATAACCAACTTTAATTATAGCAGAAATAAACCCTAATACATGCAAAAGCTAGCTAGCTAACTAGGGTCTAGGGTCTAGGGTTTAGGGTTTAGGGTTTGGGTGCAGCGGCGGTTAGACATTATTGCTGCATTAGGGTTTACAGACCACTACGAGGCGAAGGCAGCACTGCAGCAAGAATATTTTTGCATGCAGAAGCTAGATGCAATTCTTTTCCTTGCCTTTATAGGCAGAATTACAGCTATGGTATGGTAGATATTGCTGCTGCTGCTGTTGCTGCTGCTGCTGCTGCTGCAGTTGTTGTTGTTGCTGTTGCTGTGGTGTGTGATAGACATGCCACACCACACGGAGAAGCAGCTGCTGCAACTGCTGCTTGGACAGCAGATGCTGAGCCTTCTTCTGCCTGCTGCTGCTGCTGCTGCTGCTACACCTTCTTGCCCCTGCTACTGTTGCTTCTGTATATACAGGCGTGCATCTTATTTATTAGGCAGCAGAAACCCTAGCCTTAAGACACAGGAGGCGCCTGCAGCTGCGGCTAGGAGGCATGGCCAATTGGAAGGATGGATAAGCCGCCAGGTTAGGGTTTAGGGTTTACGGCTTAGAGGGATGATAGGTTACCGAAGGGTTGCCTGAGGGTTTAGGGTTTAGGGTTTGGGGTTTAGGGTTTACGGTTTGTCGCATGCAGTTGCTCTACAAAGATGATGGAACTGCGGTGGTAATATCCGCAGAGCTTTTGTGCAGACCCTAACGATTTCTTCACAAACCCAAAACCCTAAACCCTAAACCCCTAACGATTTCTTCACAAACCCTAAACCCTAAACGCTAAACCCCAAACCTTCAAACTGCACGTCTGCGAATATCTTCCTTCTTTCGGGTGTTTAGCCTGGCATAAATGCAGTTATTTCTCTTCATTTTTAGGGTATAGGGCTTGGGCATTAAGGGTGTAGGGTTTAGGGTTTAGGGTTTTGCTGTTCAGGAGAGCGCGTGAATTCGTGCTTGGAGGACTAGTGCAGCATCAGTTGTTTATTTCTGATACTCATGTCATCGGTACACCTCATACCCTAAACCCTGAACCCTAAACCCTCAGGATTGTTTTGAATGTGCCCGATGTAACAGCTTGCTGCAGCTAATCCGACGTTTCCTACCCAGCAAGCAACCTATAAATATATATAAAATATATATTGTGTATGACTTGGCGGATGTAGGATGTAGCGTATAAATTATATTTTATTGTGTATATTAATACAATTTATATTATTAATAAAGTATAAACAAACCCCCGATACAGTAGAAGTATCCATGATTGTTACACGTTATGCCTGTCATCCATAGAGTTGGGCGGGCAACAACACACAAAAGGAGCAGGCAGATGAGTCCATCACTCATTATGTATTAAAATAAACAAAAAAACAATAAAAATATTGAGAAAAACAAAAATATTTAATAAAAATATTAAAATAAACAAAAACATTAAGAAAATTTTATCCTTTTTAATACATAACGGTCACTACGCGATTCAATCCATGAGTGACGAGGGATTTGGCCACCGGCAATCCATACGTACGGCCAACCACCATCCATGGCCACAGCTCGTCACTCTTAGTATACAGCATGTAAATAAAAATATACAAATATACAAATATACAAATATACAAATATACAAATATACAAATATACAAATACAAAATACATAAAAAATATAGATAGCACCTTAGGACGGACGAAGCAAACATCATTCATTCATTGAGAGTGACGAGGGATCTCGAGACCTTAGCGACGAAGGAGCATTCCGTACGAACAATTGAATCAATGAGAGTGACGAGGGATTTCGAGACCTTATAACGTTAATAATCCCTTGTCATCCGTATAGTAAGCATTCCGTACGAACAATCCATTCTATGAGAGTGACGAGGCATTTGGAGAATCCCATGTCATTTTCCTCATACGAATGGGCATTCCGTACGAAAGACCTTTTTCGTGCGTATATACACAATAAAATATAAAAATGTATTTTGAAGCAAACACCCTACACAGTAGCGAATTTACAGAATAAACACCCGATACAGTAGTAGTATCCATGATTGTTACACGTGATGTCTGTCAGCCAGGGCAACAAAGCACATGAGTCAAGCACATGAGTAGTCCACTCACTGTGTATTAAAATAAACAGAACCATTATCAAAAACAATAAAGAATAAAAAATAGAAATAAACAAAAACATTCACAAATTTGTATATGTAAGAAAAAAATAGCACAGGCATTAAGGGATTCATTCCATGAGACAGAGTGACGAGGCGACCGCAACCCGTAGGGGTATGGCTAACGACCAACCATGGCCACAGCTGGTCTCTTAGTGTACAGTATGTAAATAAATGTAGTGACGAGGAATTTGGAGACGAACAATTGAATCTGTGAGAGTGACGAGGGATTTCGAGGCCATTCCTTCCGAAGAATTAGATTTCGAGAACATAACTGGAATCCCATGTAATCAGTATACGAGTACCCATCCCTTCGGTACGAGAAATTCATTCCGTTTGATTGACGAGGGATTTCGAGAGCATAGGAATGCAAGGGCAATATCGTAGGAATGACGAGTGATTTTGAGACCTAGAATGCTCCGTCAAATCTCATCTCTACTCACTTCTCCCTAAAACTCTGGATCTTACCTTGCCGGTTAGAGTAGAGTAGAGTACTGCAGGGATTTGGAGACCTAGATTGGAACGGCCAATCTCATCTCACATGAGTGACGAGGGATTTGGAGACCTAGAATGGAACGGCCAATCTCATCTCATGAGTGACGAGGGATTTGGAGACCTTGATGCAAGGCAAATCCCACGGCATCCGAATACGAATAAGCATTCCGTCAGAACAGTTCATCGTATGGGTGACGAGGGATTTGGATACCTTATAGCGACAGCAAGGCCGATTCCATGGCACCCATACT